GGAGGCATGCTCCTGGGGCCCTCACATACAAGTTACCATTCTGGTTGCAAGCTACTTGATGGACACTTGCTCAGACAACAGAACAGAGCACTGCAAGCTTCCTCTAGGTTTAGAAACTCAGGGCAGGCAGGTGGCATCTGAGGACTACATCTGTGCTTTGTCTTTCCTCCTAGGCATGTCTAAGAAAACCAACCGGGGCTCCCAGCTACACAAATACTACATGAAGCGAAGGACGCTGCTGCTGTCCCTGCTGGTGAGGCCCACAGGTGCAGCTGTGCCTGCTGCCCACCACCTGCCCGTACAACACCTGGTGGCTGGGGCAGTGTGTGGTCACTCGCAGAAGGCGTGCATATCAGGCCTTATATCTTATCTTGCCAGGCCACTGAGATCGAGCGGCTCATCACATGGTACAACCCACTGTCAGCCCCAGAACTGGAGCTAGACCAGGCCGGAGAGAACAGCGTGGCCAACTGGAGATCTAAGTACATCAGCCTGAGTGAGAAGCAGTGGAAGGACAACGTGAACCTGGCCTGGAGCATCTCTCCCTACCTGGCTGTGCAGCTGCCTGCCAGGTGGGCCCCCAGGCACCACGGCCTGATACAGGCCTCACCAGAGGCCCAGAGCAGGGCGCCTGCCAGCTGGGTCATGAATGCTGGGGAGCACCCTGCAGCCCCTCTCAAGGACGGTCAGGAAGTAGTCTAGCAGGCTACTTTGATCATGAAGCGCCAGGACACTCCCCCAGCTCTTCTGTGCAGAGATAACCCAGCAACCCTTGTGATCTTTTCAGACGCCTGCCTGGGGTGCTGCAGCACCTGGAGCCTAGGGAGGTAGCAGCAGGGTGAATTCAGAGCCAAGATCTGATTCATGCCGGATAGGAGGCATGTGGAGGCTGTCACTCCTGGCAGGCGGCTGCCGGATCCGCCTTGGGGAGGGTTTGGGTTTGTTCCTGGATGTCACCTTTCAGTGGCAGAGTACTCGGAGGAGGCACATGCTGCAGACAGCAGCCACATTCCTGTGAACTGCCTGTGGCAGCTCTTACAGGAACAGAACCTCAGACCGATGGTGGCTGAGAGGGACTGCAGAGTCCCTGTTTAGAATCCCACCAAATGGGGCCGGGCCCAGTGGCTCAAGCCTGTAATCCCAGCACTTTGGGAGGCCGAGGCGGGTGGATCACGGGGTCAAGAGATGAAGACCATCCTGGCTAACACGGTGAAACCCCGTCTGTACTAAAAATACAAAACAAATTAGCCAGGCGCAGTGGCGGTCACCTGTAGTCCCAGCTACTCCGGAGGCAGAGGCAGGAGAATGGTGTGAACCTAGGAGGCGGAGCTTGCAGTGAGCTGAGATCGCACCACTGCACTCCAGCCTGGGTGACAGAGCAAGACTCTGTCTCCAAAAAAAAAGAGAATTCCGGCCGGGCGCGGTGGCTCAAGCCTGTAATCCCAGCACTTTGGGAGGCCGAGACGGGCGGATCACGAGGTCAGGAGATCGAGACCATCCTG